TTATTTTATTTATTATATTATATTGATACACAAAATAAATATATATTATGGAATACTACTTCCAACTGTTAATTTTCGGCTTCAAATCGAAACACTTCTTCAATAGAAGTTACACTTTATAAGCAATACTTCACAAATATTAGGATGATAGGTTCAAAAGAAAAAGGAATAATAGAATAATGCAGGATATCTCTCTTTAGCTAGGCACTTCGTGAGTACTGCAGTGGAAGAGAAATAGGGAATGGTAGAAAGAGAAAGGCGGACAGCAAATATGATTAAGAAGGTAAAGGAATAACTCCGGCACGTTATGCTCCCTTATTGTATCTCTAATCTCAGGATATAGTGTACTATATTATTGATGATGACAACTGTCATAGATAGACATAAAAAAGTACGTTATGCTCCCTTATTGTACCTCTAAAAAGAATATTAGTATAGAAATACTACTTTGTGTTTCTTATCTCTCCCTACATCATTCTGTCCCTCTCTTCCTCTCTCTAACGGTCTCTTTTTCTGCCTCTCTTTCTCCTTCTCTCACTGTCACTCTCTATCTCTCTCTTTCTCTCTCCCCATCTCTTATTTTCTCTTCCCTCTCAGCCATTGTCAAGTTCGATGCAATGGGCGCTGCAAGCAAGGTTTTACAAACATTTGATCTTGCTCGTGGATCCAGTAGGCTAGCGCTAAAATAGGAAAAGTCCTTATTCAAGAGTCCATTTCAAGTGATAATATCCTTACCAATCTTTTGGCCGATCAGAACGGGGCAAGCGCCATGATAAGAGCGGACCTCATAGTCGAATGAGTTGGGATTCATGTTGTACCAGTGGATCACTTTGCCCCTCGCCGGATGAACCGCTATTTCCACGTCGGGAAAGACTGTAGCACCACCCCGAGTCACATCATTGAGCTGCGTAACAGTAATGATTAAACAGTTGCTTATATGTGGAAGCATCATCACTTACATAAATTACAAAGGTGGCAAAGCGATCGTCAGTGAACTCCTCTTTGGTGTAATTAAAATAGTCCGCATGTATATCGTAATGACCCCCAAAGTCATATTTCAGATATTCAAAGGCGTCATCGTTAATCTGCAAGTCAGACATATCTCTCATCCTCTGGAATATGCGCTCCACCAATTGAACATCCTTTGGCGATATTTCGTCTCTATATAGGAAAGCGCCATTGGCAGTTCGATACTTTATTAACGTGTCTTCTCCATCATCTTCGACAACAACTGTGGCGCGTTGCAAGAATGGCTCAGATATACGGTTCAGATGTTCTATCTCCGATTCGTAGATCACATCGTGAAATAAAACCATGTAAGGATCCTCGGATAACAGTTCCATTTTAAATGGAGCTAGATACAAAAACTTTGAAGGTTTCGTCTTATAAGAACACACAAGTCGAGTCGGTTGGGGCATATAAGACGACCCACAAAACTCAATAAATTCTTTGTCCATTATGTCTAAGTAAGGATGGTCTTCAATATTGGTAACATTATAGTTTCGATAATCCAACAGCAACTGCTCTACCTGGTCCCTCAAGCTGGGCTCCTCTAAGAGAGCAGCTCGTGATAGTTCCTCGTCACCTAAGTGAAGATAAAGAAAGTCAAGTTTAGCATCTGTTGGTGATGAAGTAACTCACCTGCTGCCATTATGGATCTCGCCAAGAGTGAGGATATTTGAGTACGTGGGACAGTTAACAATTCAAAGGGTGCAATCGGGGACTGATCCCACAAATCTCTAGCCAGATATAACCAATTAGCTGCATCTGTGAACTGCGATGCCTCGAACAAGTTCGCTCCCATCTCAAAACAGTCAGAGATCGAGAGCTGTGAACTGCGAAATAGAAGTACATACATATATGTGATTAATTATTCGAATAATCCTACGCTCACATACTTCACATAAGCTCCATCGAGCAAACCGTTAGCTATATCCGTTGGCTTGAGCTTGTAGATTTGCTGCACCCGGTAAATAGCAGCCACTGCCTCTTTGACATCCTCAAGTTGAGGCAACTCATCGCGCATTTGCTTGAGAAAATCAATTTGCTCTACAAACATAGCAATTAGGACAGAGCGGGCATAGATAACTGAGGGACAACTCACCCAAACCCGCTCTCTGCTCCATGAGTTTCTCCACTTGTGGCCAGTCGAAGTGCATTTGCCGTGTGAGCGAATAACTGTGTAGAGGATTGAAGAAAAACTCCGCCTCTGGGTCCTTGGCCAGCAGCAAAGGACTATCGAGTTGCAGGACTAGCCTGTAAGTGTTTAAGCTCACTATGAATTTCCACAAATGAATCATCATTCMAGGAATACCTTCTCATTGTATCTACCTTCTCCTCTAGTTTATCKGCATATTGRTTCAAATTGTCCAGGAGCTGTCTGTGCACCTTCAGCAGGTGCAGTTTGTTTAGCAGGGGCTTTTCCACCTTGTCGGGAGGTGTAGAGTCAATCGACTGAATTAACATTCCCAATAGAGCCAGGCCAAGAACATCCGACAGTTTCCAACCTAGTCTAAGCCGCATTATTTTCATTGTAGTAAAGAACTTTAGCGCTGCTTATAAACTGTTTTTAGTTTTGGTCGGAGGGAGGTGAAATGAATTTGCTACAGTGCAGGCTATATTAAACTGTAAAATTGAGTGATTAAATCAATTTTAATTTAATTATTGGAATTAAGTTTTCTTCTTTAAAAAAATAAAATAAAATAAATATACGTATGCGTTTTTCCTGAAAAAAAAAAAAAAACTCATTTTCATTTTGAAACTATTCAAGTAACTCAAGAGTAACTAGGGTTTGGAATATCAAACTTATGATTGCGTAACTGACAATATCTGTTTTTGACTCCATCTAAAATATAGACAAAAAGTGAACTTATACTTCACTAGACGCAGAGCTTATGCAGAGCTCTCGTTGTTTTCTTGCTATCAATTGTTTTGAATATTTTATGCAACCCTGCTGCTATTTTTTTCGCATTACTTTTTGAATTGAATTCTCTTCTTCTTCTGCTGATTACATACTAGTTGAGGATCGATATAGTTAAGAATCGATAACAGTCATCGAGTTGAAAGTGCTGGCACTATCGTGGCAGTTGGACATCGATAGTGTACTACAGCGATAGTGCTCTGTCATCCGTAGTGCCGATAGTGCCATCGATAGCTCTCCACTTCTATGTTCACTCACTCCAGCAAATGCTTCAAAGTATCAGAAGGCGCCACACGACACGAGTAATCATATATACATAGAATTATTGAGTTTCAATAAATTGATATTTATTTATAGCAGAGAATTGGTCAAGAGCGCGGCTTAGTCGTCCTGCGTTAGGAACTGTATGAGAACTGTAGAGGGAGGGAGGGAAAGTGAGTAAGGAGAAGGAAAAGAGAAATACGATGAATGACCAATTAGAGTCGGAGACTTACCCAGCCTCTTGCCCACCACATTGGGACAGAAGGTGATTCGAAATTCGTCTTCGAAGGAGAATACTAGAGCATCGCCGCGACTTGGAAAGGCGGCTAGCTCATGTTTAGCTAAGGTAATGGCTCCACCCATATCCATATCGTTCAGCTAGCAAATGAGAATAGATAAGGGGGAGGATTAAGAGGAGGCGGACAACTGACTGACTTACAAAAAACAGGGCCGTGCCGTGAACATTCTCTTTCACACCCAAGAACTGGAGTACAAAATAAATAAGAGATTTTTAGGAGTTTCGTAGTCATGCTTAGAGCTCTGGCACTTCACCTTATATAGATCCTGCAGCCTGAATGCATCACGTGGACTATACTCGAGCATAAAGAATTTGTCCATGTGCAGCTCGGCTGCCGACATGTCGACCAGGCGTTCCATCAGTCCGATTGATATCGGGCTGAAATTATTCGAAATGGAGCAAATCTTCATGCCGGGAATCCGCGTCAGCATCGAGCTCGGCGGACAGCGCTCGAAGGCGTTCATCAGGTGCGCGATCTCGCGCTCTCTAATGCCGTTCCTGTAGAGCATTACCAAGGGATCGTACAGCAGCTCCTCCATGCGCAGTGGCGCCAGCTGCATGAAGGGCGTGAAATCAGTGTTCAGCTCGCAGATCAATTGCAAATCCCTTTCGTAGTTCCCTCTGCACTGCTGCTCCTGCACGCTGGCGTGCTCGACAGGCGTCGACCGAGTGCGACCCGCCGTCAGCAGCTCCAGGTGCTCGTCCAGCGACTCGCTGATGCTCTCTGCCAACAATTCACTTGAGTACGAGCTGTGCCCCATCCCAACCCCACCCAACTCACTTTGCTGGCTCAGCTTCTTCAACGTATTGCTCTGCATATAGTTGATCCGCTCGTCCGTGGCGCCCAGCAGCTCGCTGTGGGGCGATGCGGTGTAGTTGACTCTGGCGACGGCCAGCCACTCCAGTGCCTCGTGGTACTTGCCCAGCTCGAACAGCTCGCGCCCCATGTGATAGTAGTCCCATGAGCCTAACCTGTTTGGGCAGTCGTCATTACAGGGTATTCTGTGGGCCGAGCAGCCCCACCAGAGCTCACCTCAAGTACTTCTTCCGGTGCATCAGGAAGGCAGCGGGTTCATAATTGTAGAACCTGAACAGCGACTGCAGACTCTCCGCCAACCGCCTGTGCGCTTCGGCCTTGGGTACGAGCGCAAGGAGGCGCTGTTGCATCTCAATCTGCTGTCTGCCCACCGAGAGCATCATCACTGCCTGCCACAGCCGCCAGTCGTAGCGGATGTGATTCATCAGTCGGAAGCCAAATATCGGATTCGTCATATACAAATCGGGGCGTCTATCGGCGTATTTTATCAGACGACTATACTCCTCAATAGCGCTAAGGGGAGAGAGAGAGAGAGTAGGACGGAGAGAGAGATGATAAGAGACAGCGAAGAGACGAAGATAGAAAATTGTAGAAAAGAGAAGAGAAAACATGTTGGAAGAAAACAGAAAGGAAACAAGTAAGAAGGCTCTAGTCGAGGCTGCTCGACTAGTCGATACCCTAAACCCTCCAAGCTGATATTCAAATTATTCTGCTCTTCTTTTATACACATATAATAAACACGCATCCACACGCATGTATGAACGGAACAGAGAGAGGGGTCAATGACCTTGAGGAGGGGTCAATGACCTTGAGGAGGGGTCAATGACCTTGAGGAGGGGTCAATGACCTTGAGGAGGGGTCAATGACCTTGAGGAGGGGTCAATGACCTTGAGGAGGGGTCAATGACCTTGAGGAGGGGTCAATGACCTTGAGGAGGGGTCAATGACCTTGAGGAGGGGTCAATGACCTTGAGGAGGGGTCAATGACCTTGAGGAGGGTTCAATGACCTTGAGGAGGGGTCAATGACCTTGAGGAGGGGCCAATGACCTTGAGGAGGAGCCAATGATCTTGAGGAGGGGTCAATGACCTTGAGGAGGGGTCAATGACCTCGAGGAGGGGTCAATGACCTTGAGGGTTCTTTTCGATTCGATTCTTTTCAATTTCAATTTCAATTCGATTCTTTCAATTCTTTTTCAATTCGACAAATCTGTGAGGGAATCTGTTTTTCACTATATTTACCCCTTCATTGTGTTTACTCTCTCTTCAAGCGCTGACACATAGCTGCGAAAGTTGTACAGCAATTCGCGCTCCAATTTCAAAACACTTTTCAGCTCCTCAACGTGAATACTTTCAGCATTTGCGGCCGCAAGTAGCAGTGGGAGCAGGCACAGAATGGCAACCATTATGTCTAGAGCTTTGCACGCGAATGAGCCGAAACGGCGCGCACCTGGCCTTCACCTTGACTAATTGCACATAGGAAATGGAAAAACATTTGACAAGCGCAGCCAATTAAGTTAAGCAGTAGAGCTGCCCAGCAACAAATAAGTTAGTAATGTTGTTTTTAAAAACAATCGATTTGATCAAAAATATTTTATTTTCATTACATAACCACAGTTTTCAAGCCTTGCCCGTTACAATTTTAATAGCGCTAAGAAAGCAGTGTACTGTTTCGCTTCAGAGTTAAGCTATGCCGATTTACAGCACACAAAGCAGTGCACCTATCGATAGTACTGAGCGCCAGCTGTGTTGAGCTATCGTTAAATTTAAATGCATTTTATATGCATCCAAACTAAATTTATTAAACTTGGGCAGCTCTATCGTGCCACTGATTGAGGTGCTGCTCAACTGAATCCCGCTCTGGATGAGCATACGACGTGAGTATATTACGATCCGAGATTGCCGCTTCGCAGAGCGCCGTCATCATTAGCGGAATTATATTGTGCAATTTGCGGCTGAAGGGTCTGCTAATGTTTACGGGACGAACCTTTACCATGGACAAAGTGAAATAAATTGAAAATTGAAAATTGAAAAACAGATGTATGAAACTTACTGCTTGTCTATTAAACTAAGCACATATATTTATGTTGTGCTTATTTTTTTGTCTTCAACTTTATTTTAGTGGGCTGCAAACAAGCGAGTGCAGAAACAAAAGTAATTTTCATTTGCCTACTTCATTTGTTTACAATCAGCTGTCGTAGAGATGGGACTTTGGCTTTTCGATACCATCAGTGCGAGAGCTGCCATTTTGTGTTGATAGAGCTGCCGGACTGACAACTGAAAAGCTCTATGATTCAAAACGTACATACACATGAGCTTTCCATAATACGAAAGCTAACAGAACCGTATCGGTAAACTTGTTAGGGGCTTTCCGCCAATTAATAATAATTGCCGTAGCTAAAAATAAATAATGCATAACTAATTTTTGAGTTTATATATTTACACCCAAATATAATTAATTCTTGTACTATTTTTACAAATGCATGTGTAATAAATAGTGCCAGGTAATTGCGAGTATCGATAACAGCACATCTGCAGTGTCTATTCTATCTAACAGCTTCTGAGTGTGGCCAAGAGAAATACACACAATTGAATGTACATATGTAACTCTATACTTGATGCTCCCTATAGATATACAAAAAAAAAGAACAATTTGTCTGATTTGCTCGCGGCTTCTCAGTTGCATTTGTGCTCTTAGTTGCAGCGGTTGTACGTGTGCCTAACGCAAAATAAATGTCTATTTGAAAAGTGCAACAATTTGTGTGCAAAGCGATCAATAATTCTGCAGGGCGGACGCAACGCGCTCTCAAGTGTGGTATATGTGTTAGCAATAAATAATTATTAAAGTTTTTGACAGCAAGAAGTCCCCAAACAACGACATGCTACTGCAGAGAAACAAGTAAAAAACGGAATATGGTTTCTTTAGTTTCGTTTCGTTTTGTTTGTGCTTACGTTTGTGTTACCCATTTAATTTAATTAGTGCCTCGCTAAATGTACCTTTTCTGTTTCTCACAATTCTTATTCGCATAGCCACATCGCTCCCACTTCATTTCGGCTTGTCCTACACTTCAGTTTTATTTGCGTTTTAGTTATGTCTGTTGACATATGCTTGTTTGTATGTGTATGCGCGTGTATATATGTATGTGTTTGTACGAAATTGTGTTGCCGATTACTTCATCTGCTCATTTTGCTTTATTTCGGCTTTTGTTTTGTTCATTTCATTCTTATGGCGTTGCCAGTGCTAGGCAAGTTGGCCAGCTGTTGGAATTTGGTTGCATAGCAACAACACAACAATACAATAACAGCATTATTATTTAAATCGGTGTACAATAAATGTTTTCTAGACTAATTTTTGATTGATACTTTATTTTATAAAATTTTTATCAATTTAGTTGGCTGAATTGTCCTCTGTGGAGTCAGTCTGGCAACGCTGCTCGTTCGCTCGCATGCCCGCTCTCGGAGTTGGCCTCAGCTCTTGTGCTCCATTTATTTATTCTATACGCTTTTATTTATACAAAACGATAAAGTGTCTTTTATTGATTTCGAGCCCTCGAACGTGTACACAGCAAACGTCGGATTTATTAATTGAAGGCGTTAATCAATCAACGCTTCAGTGTCTGTCGCTCGTTGGCCACTGTTGGGCTGTGTTATCACAAAAATCGCGCGTGTTTTCGTTATACAAAAAAAATACTTGAGCGCATTTCTTAACAGGTATCTGCTTGTTTATAAATAAGTACTCTCTCCCAAACCACCGTGTGTACATGCTATATAAAATCATCGCGATAAGATAATTGCCACCCGGCTAAATTTGTGACTTTGCCTAATTACATCCCACAGCCCGTAGCCCACGCACATTAGCACTCACGTGCATTTCGCTCAGGCTAAAATGTCAAGAAATTGCGACACTTTGAAATGAGGCGCCATTGGGCAAAAGTTACAAGTTTCCGTGTTCGTGTTAGTGCCGTACCGTTTGTTGTTTTTGTGTGTGTGTCAGTTAACTGAGATTTGTATATATGTATTTGCCGCAATATACTCGCATTACATTTGACGCCAATTTGGCGCATGGGCTGATGAGCTGTTGATGGGGGGTGGAGGCGCAAAGAGATAGAAAGAAAGAAAGAGCTTTGTGTGAGTTGTGTCTCTGTCTGGCATCAGGCCAACAAAGCAATGCGCAACAATATACCGCAATTGCCATACAATTTACACATATACATACATGCCAATGTGTGCGTGGGATTTAAGTACAGCAAAAGCTCCCTTGAGAGGACATCTCTTGTAGCTTGAATAATTTTGAAAAAAAAAAACCTTTTACATAAGGACCATACAAAAAAAAAAAAACACCAAAAAAATTATTTACAAATATTCTTGTCACCTATTCGACTCATCTTCAATAGACACCTCTTATATGTCCACTCAAGGCAGCTCTCACTGTACAATCACCTGCCTGTGGTATGTGTGAGAATTCACTCAACGTGTGTGCCAACTTGTTGCCTAAGGCAAAACGCTGTCGATTAGATATAACTGTTTATTTAGGGAAACGACTGCAAAAAGCGTTAAGCATATAAAATCAATTAGATTCAGAATTAAAGCTGAGGCTAGCGTCGATCGTCGGCATCGAAGCTGCTCGCCTTCAGCTTTAAACTGCCACGGGTCAGCTGATTCAGATCGATTATGGACAGGTACGGCTTGGGCGGCACAGGCACATCAATAGGCAAAGCGGCAGCGACGGCGGCGGCGGCGCGTCGCTTATGGCGACTGCCGGCGGCAGGCTCGCTAGTGCCCAGGGAATACTGATCATGGTGTCCGCAGCTGGCGGTGACGGCGCGCCGATAATTGCGATAGCCGCTGAAGCAGCTGCTGCCGGGTGCAATGGGCATCGGACGCGTCGGTGAAAAGCCGCCCTCGTCGGAGGAGACCCCGCCAACTCCTCCGCCACCGCCGCCAGCTGAGTCGTAGCAAATGCTCAGATTGGTGTACGCAATGGGCGCATGGCAACGTGTCGTTTTTGGCCGTGGCTTCACCTCGTAGCGTGTCCTGGAGCGCGAGCGCGAATGATGTGTACGCGGTCTGCCGCGTCGCTTGCCCTGCTGCCGCATCTCCGATACTAGCGGCACGGGCAGGACATTGATGAAGCGATAGTATTGAAGCAGAGTCCGCGCCAGATTGCGCCCAACTCGATGATCTGTGAATTTGGTGGATAAGCATGGTTCTCCAACTCCAAGTGTCTAAACTACTTACACCCGTCCTCGTTGTACAGCGCGATCGTCTTGCCATCGCGCAGGTAGTGGCCTGCCATGGACACCTCCAGCGTGTAGGCGTTCACCGTGTCGCTGAGCCGCTCGCAGCAGTAGCGTCGGACGCTGCCCATCTTCCGCTCGTCCGCATTGAACATTGTGTGCTCGGCAATGTAGTCCTTGGCGTTGTTGGCAAAGAGGCGCGGAAAGACGAGATGCCGCTCGTAGCGATAGACATCCTCGTACGTGTTGCCGTAGATGAAGCAGCCGTGCATGCTGTTGTTCGCGTGCAGATCAATCACAAAGTCAATCTGATAGGTCTGTCAACGGAAGTAAAGGATATTGAAGCAGTGAAGCTTATTGTCCCAGTGTTCGCCCCACTCTCACTCACATCTGAATTATCCAACTCTTTTAGCACATTCCGGATGGCATGCAGCTCCGGCTGGGTGAACTCGGAGGCCACATGCCAGTTGCGATTCATGTCCTGGCCCATCAGATTGCAGCGATTGTTGCCCAGAAAGACCCCGTCCGGATTGACCATTGGCACAATTTTGAATACGAAATTCTCGCGCAGCACCTGCGCAATGGGATGATTCCCCACCAGAAACTCGATTAGGCCCTGGCACACATGCGATGCGGGCGCTTCGCTCGAGTGCGTCCTGCACAGTATGACAATGACCCGTATGAAGCTACGCTCGAGCCGGTTCGTCGACCGCTGGCTGTGCGTCACCTGGTCAATTGTGAGCAGATCGACATTGCGGTTTTGCTGTGAAGATAGATTGCTTTATCGATCCGAATAGGAAGGGGGATTACGCAGTGAGACATGCATACCAGAGACTTGACGAGAACGCAGCGCGTGAACCGCTTCTCGGTGCCCTGGCGTGCATCGATCACATTCAAATAGGACTGCAACCGGGAGTAGCTGTACGGCATGGCCAGAGCGAACATGTACACATCCTCCTCCTTGTCGAAGTTGAAGCCAAAGCTGAGCACATAGTGTCCCTGGTGCATGGCCGAGCGATAGAAGAAGACCTGGCGCTTGGGCAGCCGCTGCCACTTGGGCCGGCTGGAGGACTTGACGAGCGGCGTCAGGCCGGAGTTGAACAGATTGCGGCTCTTACTGATGTTCACAATGTTGAAGAGGACGCGCTGATCCTGCTTCACATTGTCCACGGTGAAGTTGAACCAGAAGCGAAAGCGCGGATTACACGTGTCCGGGCGCAGAAACAAATCGTACTCGAACTCGCCCACCAGCTCCGCCTTGCCCAGATTCCCGGTCTCGAAGGCCGCGTCGAAGCACAAATGGCCGCGCTTGGCCTTGCCGCTCTGTCCGGGCGGACGGATTATCACGCGGGAAACGTTGCCCAGTCCGCCCTCGCCATCGCTGTCCTCGCTGTCTGGAATGGTATACGAATATAGCAATAGAATGCAGATCACACTGAGCCGTAAGCTGTAATCTGAGCATTATGGAATCCATTGAGCAAATACCATCTGAGCCGCGATCATACATGCTCGTATGCTGCAACGGATCGCAGGCTATGCCCAACATCTTGGCAAATCTCCGCGAAAGCTGCTAACGTCTAGGACTCTTCTAAGGCAACTAATGCAAGTTTCTAATCCTGCAGCAAAGCTGTCACAAGTTTCAACAGCGACGCCTTACCATATCGCAAAAGGTTAATCCTGCCGGGTTTCTATCTTTAAACTCGACAGAAGGCACGTATGCGTGTCTCGGCTATCGCAACTGGTGCAACTTTTTTTAGAGCCGCCTCAAACGTCAAATTGAATAGTCGCGGTTGCGTTGCCTCCCCGTTGCACCACAAAAGGAAAAGGAGGCGGAGGGAAAGGAACAGCAGCCACACTCACCTGAGTCGCCCATGCCGCTGGCAACTTGATTGGATTACAGCTGCTGCTGTTGCTGCTGCTAACGAGGCGTCTCCTTCGGTTGATCCAGCTGGCAGCGCATTGACCCGCTTTGCTGGCAAATCAGAAATAGAATTTCAATTAGCGGCCATATAGTGGCCGCCCACTTTTTGGATTTATGTCTTGCCGCAGGTTTCTATTTCACCTTTTTTAGATTTATCCACTTGGGCCTTTCACTTTCGCCAATTCGCGTGCGATGTCTTGGCTAAAACTTATAGATTCCAATCAGCGTGAAGACTATGCGTCGCTCTATCGCCCAGGCATTAACTGCCACTGGCCGCTTGCCCCGAGCTGGTCTGAATGAGTGGCACACAGCCGTGATGACGATGGCTGCCGCTGGCCTGTCTAATGTATTGCTTGGCACTTTTGACGTTGCCATACACACACACTCCCACTCACACACACACACACACACACACACACACAGACACACACCTGAACTGCTGCTGGCAGTGGTTCACATGTGCGACTGTTTGATCGATAAGAACGCGCGCAGTTGGCATTGCGGTTTTGGCCAGGATTCCCACAGTGAAATTGCGTCATGGCAGTCGCTTTAACTTTTGGCAGCGCAAACTTCGCACAACTCGCATTAAGCAAAAGCGAAAAGCAGAGAACTGGGCAACGGCGTTGTCAAAGTTGCAGACTTAATTGCCTGCAGCGCGTTGCAGGAGCCACACACACACACACACACACACGCACACACGTATCATAAAATAACGCCACTCGCAACTGGCTGAAACTAGTTCACGGGGCTAATCAATAAGGCGAAACAGGAGCGAGATCCGACATAATAAGTTAAAGCCAGACGTGTGGGGCAACGCGTTGTTGTACACGTATTTGTGACAGCCACTGTCGTCGCACTCTCTCACTACATAAGCAACACCCATAACTAGCAAGCCCATAGCATGTCCAAGCGCAGGTATCCTTTAATGTGCCCCGCCCACCGCCCAGCCCAGTGTTTCAATTATTGTTTTATTATCATTTTGGTTTGTGCTCGTCGTGTTTTGTTGTCGCCAGTCGTTCGATTGCTTGGCTAATCTGAATCGGAATGGTTTACTTGCAGGCTTGGCAGTGTACGCCCACCGAAACGTTGCAGGAGCGACATGGACAACATATCCACCTCGGACATTGTCATCATCAATGGCAACTCGCATCCGGACTTGGCCAACATGGTGGCCGAGCGCATGGGCCTCAAGAACGGCGGCTGCTCGGTCTTTCACAAATCGAACCGCGAGACCATCGTCGAGATAAGCGACTCGGTGCGTGGCAAGGATATATACATCATACAAACGGGCACCAAGTGAGCTATCAAAACTATATATCAACAATTATGAATGCTAATGGTAAATTTGATCATCCGTTTATTGATTCCACGCAGAGATGCCAACAACAATATTATGGAGCTGCTGATCATGGCCTATGCCTGCAAGACATCCTCGGCTCGCTCCATAGTCGGCGTCATACCCTATTTGCCGTACTCGAAGCAGTGCAAGATGCGCAAGCGTGGCTGCATTGTCTCCAAGCTGCTGGCCAAAATGATGTGCACCTCTGGGCTGACGCACATCATCACCATGGATCTGCATCAGAAGGAAATCCAAGGCTTCTTCGACATACCCGTCGACAACTTGCGCGCCTCGCCCTTCTTGCTGCAGTACATCCAAGAGAGCGTGAGTGGTAGTTGAAGCTGTTGTGCTCATGTCTGTATTAAAACTTGATTTGGCCTGACTCTTCAACGTAGATACCCGACTACCGCAACTCGGTGATTGTGGCACGCAATCCGGGCGTCGCCAAAAAGGCCAATTCCTATGCGGAGCGCTTGCGTCTTGGCCTGGCCGTCATCCACGGCGAGCAGAAGGAGGCCGAGAGCGACGAGGTTGACGGCAGATACTCGCCACCGCCCACCAGGTAAGTCTCCACGCTGATCCACGCCGGAATCCCCTTTCTGTATGTTGAGACTCTTTGTTTATATCTTGCAAATGCACATGAAACAAATATTTTGCAAAATATTTTTTTGATTTGTATATAGTATACGATCCGCACCATTATTTCTTCTGCGAACTTTTGTTTGTTTACACTCGATTGTTGTAGCTATAGGGCGCGTACAATTATGTTTGTTGTTTCAACTTGAATGTTTTCCCGTCCAAAAGCTGTGTCTTCATTTCATTCTCAATGGCAAATGCCATCGGCTATAGCTATGGCTTCGGCTTCGGCTGTTGTAGATCCATTGTAGTCGTTGTTATCCTAAGCTAAGTAAACAGTGGGAATATTTGCATTTGGAGGGATCCGTCATCAAACACGCTTTGTTTTATTAGCTGATAAGTAAGAGTTAGCTGTGTATTGTAGTAGTTTTGGTTTATAGGTCAGCAGCCGCTGAGTTGATAGCTTATCAAGCTCTTTCTATAATGTAGATTTTTGGACTTTCAATAAACTTTGTGTAGACCAAAATCATCGCTCAACTAAAATCATTTTATTGACAACTCGCGCATAACCCTGAAACTGTCTGTATAAGTCTTGTTTATACTTCATTATATAGACTTGTGCAGCTGCATATATACATACATATATATTTTATGTGTCATTAATTCAATTGAAAAACCCATTGACATTGCTTTCAAGCATTAATTGAATTGAAAACCCCATTGACATTGCTATCAAGCTCGAGCCATGCCCTACCATGCCCCGACCTCTTGTAATTGTTGTTTATTTGTACTTCTAGACAACAGCTGCATTGTTGGGTGCAAGTACACGCATTCTGTAGCTTAACGCATTTATTTGCTGTGATTCGCAAATTCCACAGCGAAAAAAAAAAAAAACAATCGAAAAAACACTTCTCTCTTTCTTTATTTATGCAGGGCGTATAGCAATATTTTAGGAAATTCTGTTGAAATGTGCATACCAGCGGCGTCTAGGTTTGTATTTTATATACAAAATATAAATCTGTGTACATTTGCATATATATTCTCGATATTCTTGACTTGTGTGGCTTATAATGAACTGTGAATTGTTTATGCATTGTCATTTTTATTATTCTTTATTTTTTGGTTACTACAACAACAACAACAACAACAACAACGCACTACACTAAATACATTTGCACATGCCAATTCGACACCACCCACACCACCCACACCACACAACCACTCTGCACATTAAATGCTCAATATGCCAACTACGCGACACTAATCACAAGAAACTCTACTCCGCAACATGCACCCAGTAGCAGCCGTCAGCGCACCACCTCGGTGTCGGTGGGTGTGCCGGAGCATCCAGTGAAAGTGAAGCCGCCGCTGACCATAGTGGGCGATGTGAATGGACGCATAGCTATTATGGTGGTATGTGTTGCAGTATAACATGTAATTCGAGTCGGGAGAGCATCATATAGATAGTTAATATTTCTCTCTCTCTCTCTCTCTCTCTCTCTCTCTTCCTGCAGGACGATCTGATAGATGATGTGCAGGCGTTTGTAGCCGCAGCCGAAATGCTGAAGGAAAACGGTGCCTGCAGAATCTATGTGTTGGCCACCCACGGTCTGCTTAGCTCGGATGCGCCGCGCCTGCTGGAGGAATCAGTCATCGATGAGGTGCGTTCTGGCATCTCCAGTTGTTGATTCTTTGACTAATTTAAATTTCTGCTTCTTAGATTGTTGTCACCAATACCATTCCACATGAGATTCAGAAGCTGCAGTGCAACAAGATAAAGACCATCGATATATCTATACTGATTGCCGAGGCCATACGCCGCATTCACAACAAGGAGTCTATGTCGTATCTGTTCCGTAATGTCACGCTAGAGGATTAAAGAAATGCCTGTTTTTTTAATTTACAACTTTATGTCACACTCACCCACACACACACACAAACACATACACACACATCACATGTACGATGTCACAAATTGTCAGTAGCCAAGTGAAGTAGCTTCATAGAAGTTGTGTCTTCTTAATATTGTTTGTTTACCCCTCCCCCTTCCCTTTACCTACCACTTTAATTTTATTAAATAAAAACTATTGTAAAATTGCTCAAATAATGCAAATTGGCAAATTCATATACACATATTTATATTTTAATTGACATACGAATAAAATGTGAAAAAAATTTTGTAAACTCTTCTCTCGTTGCATACTTTTTGGCTGACACAAAAACAACAGAACAAAACAGTTCTCACACATACACATGTAAATTAGAGTAAATTAAGCCGACGTCATTTATGGCCATCTTAACTCATATGAAAGACAAACAGTACCAATTTTATAAGCCATATGCCAACTGCGGAGGCAAATAAACAAAGCAAGGCAAGGCAAGGCAAGCCAGTGAATGCAAATGCGAGATCTTAAACAGTTTATCAACAATTTGGCTAGCTGAAGTCTCACAATAAATAATAGTAATTGGCCAATTTGAGCAGTTAGCCAGTACGTCAATTAAGGCCATTTTGGCGGAAATGCGACACTTAAGCGCCATTAAATATTAAATATTTATTAACTGACGGCTAATCGGAGCTAATCAGTCGCATTGCTCCCTTAATTTCTGCTCAAATTTATAATAATCGTAAAGCGTACAACAGGTACAAATAAATAATTGTTTTTTCGTTTTTGTTTTGTTCTTTTTGTTTGTTGCCGCCGTCATTAGGGCCAATTAAGTTTTTGTTAAATTAAATTTATAGTACAAGTTTTAAACTACAAAAACAATGTTGAAATAATATAATTTATTATTACCTGGCAAATAAATCAATTTAATGCAAAACAAAAATTTTCCAGCTTTTGTAAAAAGTTGTCGCCACTTATTATATAAACAAATTTACCTTTTTTTGTTTTTTTACATGAATAATAAATTATTGCGACGACTGACATGCTTCACATATAAGATATTTCAGCAAATATTTATTCATCTGTTGTTGCATTCTGTTGTATTTTATTTCGAGTGCGTTACGGAAATGAGCATGAGAACTCGATAAGATTGCGGAGCATCTGAGGCGGTGCAGCGGCGACTTGCAATTCCCGTTACGATTCAACTGATGACGAGCCGAAGCTGCAAGCCTGTCGCATTCGATGCATGTGCCAATTAAAATAACAAACATTGCACTTGCTCACGCCTTATAAATGAAACATGAGCCCAGCTTAAGGGCTGCCCAAGCAAACAAATTGAGTGTTTAAATATGCAAATGGCATAATAAAATGCCGTAAATGTCCGTATGCATTTCCATATGCAGCCTCAGCTGTTTGCATACCTAAATAGCGTCTGATGCGCCGCCACGGAATGTGCGCTAGTAATTTATTACTTTTGTTTGGCTTGCAAATCAATGGGAATATTTCAGATGCATGCAGGTTCGTATTCTGAGATCTGACATATATAAGGTTATCTAACTTGTAGCTTGTAGTTCGACCAAAAACTGCAGATCCTTAACTGCGCCAAACTGTTTTTTATTCAACTAGGGAACTAACTACAATATGATTAATGGGTAGTATTTGTCATTAAAGCTTGCATAAACTGCCATAGACAGACACAACGATTAAATCTAATGAAACTTATTTGTGGAATGAATATACGTAACTGCTTAACTGTTGATGCTCAGTTGATATTAACTTCTATACCTCTGAGTCTGGAAATAAATCATCTATAAAGCTGGCAAAGCTCATCGTAGGTCTATTACATATTCGAAGGGTTAGCCTTCGGTTTAATACATGTTCTTCATCAATCGCTCATCTTCTTACTCTCAGACACATGTGCCGCTTATCTAATTCTATCGCCAGTACAGTCTTATTTCAAGCAATGAAACTTCTGTTTCACTTTTAACAACTAATTCATATATTTGCCTAATAAACTTTTAGAGTCCCTCAAATATAACATAAACCAGAACTCTGCTTAAAAGCTTTAGTGTAATAAAATTTTAATACTATTCATGTGCTGTTGCAGCACAAGATCCCTCGAAAAAATATGTAATATAATATAAAAGAAATCATATATCATTGCGCATATTTGTTTAGCAGGAGGTCACGCGATAAATGTGCGCTATTTGCTCGAAGAAACCAAGAAAATCACACAAAACTTGAATAATGCGTCAGTTGATGCTGCCGACATTATCTGGACGAAGATTGTTGAGTTTGCCCGCGCGAAGGTGGCAAAATATTTGCTTAGCAGATGCCTTTAAAGCCAGTCATATAATGGCTGGGCTCTGATAAGTCTAGCATCTGGCACACTTTGCCAATAGCTCCAGTCTCTCGTTCTGAATACAATTGAAGTCAACTATTTACTGCAGCGCAATTGATAATGCAAATGCGATGAGGAGCTCAGCTAGGGCTGAGCGATTCTATAGCAAACGCCGGCACCTTGGCTCATTCAGCAATTGTGAAACGCGAAGCATAAATTTGCATAGCTTAAGCCGAGTCGCAGTCTCACGTGAACGACACGCAATTAAATTTATTTAAATCCAAATGAATTGCTGTAGGTCATATTGCGCATACGCCCCGTCGGCCCGCCATTCCCTCGCTATGGCGTGCTATGGCGTGCATTGAACCCCGTTTTGGCAGCGCTCAATGTAATTTCCGTAAGCTATATACATACTGCATGACATTTAACATATTAATGAATTGTCCCCATCACACAACGCACAGTAGTTAATAGCCCAAGTGTCAGAACTCTACCTACTGTTTACCATATCAAAAATATTTTATTATCGGTTATCTGGTTTTGTTTTGTTTGTTTTTGTTTTTTTTTTTATCAGCTCGCATGCTCTCTAATGGCTCAGAGTAATGTTGGCAGCTGTCGCTGCTGCTCGTCGGTGCTTTTGTTTTTTGTTTTCCGTTTTCTGTTCAGTTTTTTGTTGTTGCTTTTGTTTCTCGTTTATCTATCACTCGAAATTGATTTGCTAATTCATGTTGCTTGTTGGCAATTCATTAGCACGCCAATTGGCCGAACGAGCGCGGCTTAGCGCCACTTAGCAGTCGGATCGAGGTGCTAAAACTTCCGATTCGATTGCCCCAATCGAACTAACTGGCTAATTTCACCAAAAATAAACACAAATTATTGCCCTTGCTGTTATTGCTGTTAGTGCTTTTTCACATTTAATATCATCAGCAAATTATGTTTAACAATTCGCAATCACAAATAAAACATTTCTCGTTTAGGCTCCATTACGGTTTCCTTTTTATGTGTTGTTATTGATATTTTGTTTGTTTACTTATCGTGCACAGATTACTTTTTTATGGTTGCTGCGAAATGAGGTTTACATTTGATTCAACCAAATGCACCTAGGGGTATTCAGTGCTTCTGAGAAACAGCTGCTCTCGACTGAAGCGCAGAATTCGCATCGGTTCAACGAACCCAAATCTTAATTTGTCGCAAACTTGTTAAGGAAATCATCTAATTGGCAAATGCTGCACTCATTTATCAATGAGTCGCAGCTACAATACATACACCATGGCTAATATATGTATGTAGCGGCGGATATCCAGTTTATGCACAGTGGTTAAGCAAAACTCGTTCATGAAGCCAAATGAGCATATTGGAATGTGGATAGGACTGACGTCTATCTAGCTGTCTGTTTGTTTCTCTTCGTTTCAAATACGTTTTAATAAGATATAAGGAATTTGAAATGTATAGGATATATAAATATATAGTAGCTGTTTGCTTCGCCTAAGAGAATGCGGGACGAATCTGGAAATACGATGCCAGCTGTAGTACATACGCCATTACATAATAGTTTAATATTGTTATTCAAAATAAATACTTGTTTATACTTTTTCAGAGAGCTATTGACTTACTCTACAGATCTAATAGAACATACAAATTTCATTAAATATTTCAAGAGCTCTTGAAAATAGAGATCCGAAATTTTAAATATAAATCTGGATATGAAATTAAATATTGAATATTTTAAGAACTGGTGATGATTGAGATATATCATAAAATATATATTAAATACGTTTACGTAATATAATATAGCTTGGTCTTCGTGTAGTTGTCAAATTAGAGTAATTCATATTGCACCTTCCATAATTTTGACCTAAGCTTTGCAAGGGAGTGCAATTATTTATATAAAATAAAATAAAATTGTCAAATCGTAAAATATTCAATAATATGTAGTTGATTTTAAGCCATGAGCAAGTATAGAGAATCGTAAACAACTGTTAGCATTCTGTCTAGTTGTTGCTTTGCTTGAGCAGCTCATTTGAATTTGTGGAAACATAATCGAACGAAAACTAAAACTAAAAATAAAATATGTTTTAGTGAAGTGTTAGTCAAAGGCAACCGGAACAGCATTCAGAGTTCGTCGGAGCTCGACTTTGGCTAATATATCATATTCAGTTATTTCGCTGGCATTGAACTTGGTCAAGCCGTAGACCCTGACATGCATTTCAGGCCTTAAATAATGTAAGAGATGTCACTGCATGGAGTGAGGAGTGAGGAGCGTGTGGAGTGAGGAGCGTGTAAACTGGAGCTACTCTAAAGTGCCGAATGGCATCGCATGCATGCATTGCATAACTGGCGACCATCGAATGTATTTAATCTGTGTTAAATTGTATGAATCCGATACAGACAGCGAGTGAGTCACGTGAAGCCTCGCGACAACTAATTTACATGCCTCAATGCATTCCACTGCGCACGAGCGACTGGCTGCTGCTTGAACTGCTGCTGCTGCTGCTGCTGCTGCTGCTGGCTGTATTGCGCAATCTGTCTCTGTAGGCCTAGTTGATGCCATTGTGATAGTTGTTGTCACTTATTTGTATGGTGATAGTCTGCAATTAATCGCCAGCGAAATTAACAGTTGTATTTGTCCCGCCGAGCCAACTGAACGTAATTCATCACGTTCATCGTTGGCGTTGATCAGCTGACGGCTGTTGGCACAATTGTTTGCCTGTTCGTTTGTTTGTCTGTTTGCCTGTTTGCCTGTTTGCCGAAGTTACAGTTACTTTTGCCCGGCTTTGCGTGCCCGTCATAAACAATACGTAAATATGCAGCTGCAGCGCATACAAAGCGTCTAGCCTCTTATCAATCTGTCTTGAGGCGCTGCTCTGTGTGCCAATAGATCTGTTATTATATATAACGAGCCCTATTTTCGCATCTATAGCCATAAATCTCTTTCGATTCGCTCGCTACCCTAGGAAGAGTCTGATAATAATGGTGTGAATCTCGCTTGACTATATTCAATTTTCGCCTGCTGTTAAGCATGAGATTTGCAATTAGCTGCACGCCAACTGTAATTAAATGTGTAATTCGAATACAGTTAAGTACTCACATTTAATTGTTATTCAATATATATATATATATATCTATAATTTGTGCCACTCTCTCAATTATATGCCCCGCGCACAACGTGTCGTATGAGCAACGCAATTTGACCGCATGAAAGTTGCGCATACGTAAAAACTAAAGACAGAAATAAACAGACGCTGCTTCAATACTCTTAAATGTCGTTGCCGAGTTTGCTCGAGATTCACTTAAGTGAGTCACAGAATAAGTATAAGTACTCGGGAAGATATCCTGATTGCTCTGACGTGCTCTTCAAGCATGGACCTCATCCGGTTTCAGAACAATTCTTATCTCTGTATTCTAAAAATATTTCTGTACATCAAATTGAACAACTGATGGGCGTAAAACGAACCTAAATAATTCGAGTTTTATATATATCTTATATATTTTAATGGAAAAGCGAAAGTTAAGGACCTACCAATAAAACTCATTCTCTAATATAATATTCAAGTATGATAGACCAGATAGATGGACAGTAAGTACCAATATGCATATATATATATTTGAGGGACTCTTCCTGGCCATCAGCTACTGGTTGCATATAGTTTACCAATATTATAATCTCCCCACTTCCCATCTTCAATGGTTATTAAGAAGCAAGCAAGGTATTTTACACTTCTTTATTGAGCGATTCGCTCATGACTTGTATTACTTATATGCATGACAGACATCATGTATATTGTTGATATTTTGTTTATAAATACTTATTTGTTTTATACAAACGAGTTTCATATCAATAAACTTAACTTTTCCAAGAAGAGCTTATTGATATAGGGTCTGATCAAACTGATTCTGCGACTTCTACAGCGTAAGCTATAGCAATAATTGTCTTCATTAAACGAGCTCTCATAATTCGGATAATGATTCACAGTGGGTAAAAAAACAGCATGATGCCCTCCGATAGTGTATAGAGCGCTAACAATTGACTCAATGCGGTTGTGATTGGAAGTACTCGTAAGGTTAATAAAAAACACACCTTTCTAGAGATCCGTACGATGCATATTCATGTAGTTGTGCGATCGAACTGAAAGTATTCGAAAAGTATTTCAGCAATGCCATTATAAGGGTTAATAACTTGAGAAGCAGTTAACAATGATTCGCATCATTCAATCTGCCTAAATTGTTTGTTATATAACTTGTTTTATTTTTCTTGTTTTGCATCCGTTTTGATTGACATACACAAATCTTAACTGGTTTCCTATCTAATCAAATATTTGTGCATTAGACAGCGCTACCTGTTTGGCTTGTTCTAAAGAGATTTCCCTTTGCATACCCTACAGAGGTTGTGGGTGTCTAGAGGGCTAGGATGCTTTGCCTAGGATATTTAAGGATGAGAGTAGAAAGAGACAGAGAACTTAATGTTGGTGATGCGAACTGATGATGAGAACTTAATGAATGATGCTTCTACAGTCTTGACTCTCTGCTTATATTTATACAATCGAAGTTCGTTTAATACTCAAATATTTCTAGACGTTTCTCACAGCATTGTCTTGTGAGCGGAAGTTCGTGTTTTGTCCCTGGGTACAGGGTAACTAGCAGTCGGTCACTTCCGACCTTAAGCACTCAATTTATTAATTATTTGTATTGGAGACGTTTTTTGCATTGATTCATTTCCATATTGTATCGAAATTTGAGCCACAACTTTGCAAATTTCCTGATATGGCTCGATTATGAGAGAAAAGCGTATTTTATATTCGCCATGATATAATCAGCAGTGTTTTGGTGTTTGTTTATATACGCTTTTGTTTTGTGCCCGTCATTCGTGTGGAAAGATTTCTCATCTCTGGCTGGAGCACAAATCTTTTATCAGGCGCTCAACACGTGTTTTTGTAAAGCTTCTCTTTGGCTTTCGTGTGTGAGTGAGTGTGTGTGTGTGTGTGAGTGTGGGTGTCTGTGTCTCTGCGTGTTTTATTTATTATTATTTCAATATACAAATGATTGATTGCCTGCTTGGGGCTATTTATTTTAAGTAATTGTAGGTTATAATTTCGCGTACTTTTCCATCAATAATTATATTATTATAATGAAGTCAGAGTTCGTGGAAAAATTCTTGCCAACATTTTCCCCTGGTCAGTTTTATGCACAGCACACGCAATCCAAGAACTGCATAAGTAATACAGTTTAGCATTGAAGAATAGAAAGAAAAAACCCAATGGAGAAACCCCCGCATTCCAGTTTCTATATAAGCACAGCTCTTGAATTCTGCAAACTGATAAATCTTGACATTCAAATGAAATCAACCAAATTCAGTAAAATACGGAAGACTCAAGTTAACGCTCCGCAAACATCAACATTCGGAGCAAGTAAAAATCTTTAACTAGCTGATTATTCAAATATGAAAACTAAATTAAATTCACTTCCTGGCGCTGCTGATAGACAGGGTTAGATATTAATATATACATACATATATAAATGTACATATGTATGTATGTTTGTACGTATATTAAGTGAATTCTGATTAGTTTTTCTAAACTCAAATTGCCTTTATCTAAGCCCATATTCATAACTGATTTATTGTGCACGTACTTCAAAGCTGATTTATTTACGATTGCATTGTTTTTGTTTTTATGATTTTATTGTTTTATTTTTTTATAACGTCGTGGCCGTCTCTGCTGCTGATTAATTTCCCCTGGCGATAGTCGCACTTATCCAGTGCTGTAAAAGGTCTCAAGTGGTATTTTAATTGGTCTATTTGGGGCACTCTGAAAATACAAACTCCCAACGGAATGAAATTGAACTGCAAATATCCCCTTTTATATACATATATGTATGTATACATATATACATGTATATGTAAGCGAAAAAGGTTTGTTTGCTTTGCATTTTGGTGATCCACCGAAAATAAACAGCCATTCAGCAAATTAAATTTCAATACAAATATTCCCATGCCGTATAAMAAATTTTATTTATTTACTTCAGACAGTGGAATCTTTTGAGCAGTAAAAGGAATTTCTTATGGCTCGAATTGCTTAGGCTTTGGCAAAAATCTAGCAATTCGAGAAATTAACTGTGATTCTAGGCGAAAATTCCAGAGTCATGTTGATGCCAGGCGAATTGGATTAATAAACATTTAAAGAATGCCAAGAGTTCAATATGAAAGCTGATTATTATTAGTTTATTTTATTTCATTTCTTTGTTTAAGTATGTGGGGAATTAAGCGCAGTCCACGGACGAGTCATGGGACTGCTGTGAAATTCGCTTTCAACGTGAGCGGAATAAAATAAATTTATTAAGATTTGCATTGTGGTTTTTATGCTTGTTGTTGTTGCTGTTGTAATTGCTTTTAGCACGTGCAACTAAGAAACTTGAAAAGCCTGAATTTCCCTAAAAGTGCAAGCAGTAGTAGCTAACCTGCTGCTGCTGTCGCTGCTGCTGCTGCTGCTGCTGCTGCTGCTGCTATTGGGAACCCCATGCGCTTGCTAAGGCCAAGAAGAGGCTGCACAATTAACATTTCTTTTGGTTTTGCTAGATGTGTTACACGATACCCGAGACACCCAGAGCTCACAGACGCAAGCCGGTTTTGTTTATATTTATATTTTCGTGTTGCTCTAACGAAAGCCGGCGCTGAGTCTCGAACATCGGGGGCTGCCTCTGCTGCTGTTGGGCGGCGTTTGCCGGGTGACACGAGCGGATTGCCATTCGCGACGCGCACCTATTTATAATCAGTTCCCAGCCATTCGGCTACAGTTGAGCGCTGCTTCTGCTTCTGCTTCTGCTGCTGCTGCTGTTGCTGCTGCTGTTGCTGCTGCTGTTTTTACCTCTGCTTCTGGCCCGATCTCGAATTCATTTCATTCCCGCATTCGACGCGGTCGCGAATAGTTTGGATTTGGCTTTTGGATATAGTTTTGCTTTGAGGCCGCGGTATGCGCTGAACTGAACTGAAATTAAGTAAAGTGAAGTGAAGAGACTGTGACTGTGATTGTGATTGTGACTCGCGACTGTGACAGTGAGATGAAGCCGTAGATGAAGCCAAAGGCAACGCTGACAAAAGCAAATTGGAGAGATACAAAACGCGCAACAGCTAAAGACCAAAAGACGTGAGCTTTAAGCGCCACATAAGTGCACAGTACTACATATAGAGCTGTCTGAGTGCGCGTGTGTGTGTGTGTGTGTGAGTGTCAACGTCATTTGAGATGACTGCCAAAGATACGGGCCATGTGAACAGCGCCTTTAACGGCGCTGATGTGTCGGTGGACATACCCACGAATACGCTGTACCACACATCGCGCGACTGCATCGTCCAGCAGGAGGAGGAGCCGGTGATGTCCGGCTGGAAGGACTGCTGCCGCAGCACCTGGGCGAACATCTTTCGCCGCAAGACGCTGGAGAAACGCTTTCCCATACTCGTCTGGCTGCCGCAGTACAAAAAGGACTACATCTTCGGCGACATTGTGGCCGGCATCTCGGTGGCCCTGACTGTGATACCGCAGGCTCTGGCCTACGCCGGCATAGCCGGACTCGATCTGCAGTATGGACTGTACGCGTGCTTTCTGGGCTGCTTCATTTACATCTTCATTGGCTCCAGCAAGGATGTGCCCATTGGGCCGACGGCCATTTCGGCGCTGCTCTCGTTCCAAATAGCCGGCGGCAGCTGGCAGATGGCCACGCTGCTGACCTTCCTCACCGGCCTCATTGAGATACTGATGGGCATCTTCCGGCTGGGCTTCCTCATTGACTTTGTGTCGGGGCCGGTGGGCGCGGGATTTACCAGCGCCGTCTCGCTGATCATCTTCAGCTCGCAGATGAAGGACCTGCTGGGCATACGCACCAGCGGCAACACCTTCCTCCAGGTGTGGATCAGCATCATCAACGACATACAGAACATCAGCTGGCCGGACTTCGGACTGGGCATCACCTGCATCGTTGTCCTGCTCAGCCTGCGCGCCCTGGCCAGCTGCAGCGTGGGACCCAAGCAGGGCAAGTCCACCTGCCAACAGCTGCTGACGGGCATCTTCTGGACGGTGGGCACGGCGCGCAATGCGCTGCTGGTCTGTGCCACCGCCGCGCTGGGCTACTGGCTCTCCATCAGCGGCAACGAGCAGCTGGTGCGCACCGTTGGCTTTGTGCCCAAAGGATTGCCCCAGTTCCAGTCGCCGCCCTTCCACATGGACGCGGTGGTCAACGAGACGACGGGTGAGGTGCTGCAGGAGGCGCAAACCTTCTGGGATATGGTCGGCACACTGGGCTCCGGCCTCATAGTGGTGCCCATGATTGCCCTGCTGGAGACAATGGCCGTGGTGCAGGCCTTTGGTAAGTCGATGGGATTTCACTTCACACTTGATGGCTTGATAAAACCCGAAACAGCTTGCGACTTATATAACAATAATAATGATCATAATATTGATATTGATAATCTGTAAATTTCCACTCACAGCCGATGGCAAGCCAACGGATGCTACCCAAGAGCTGATTGCCTCCGGCATTTGCAATGTGGCCAACTCCTTCGTGCAGGGGCTGCGCAGCAATGGAGGCGTGGCACGCGGCGCCATTCTGAATGCGAGTGGTGTGCGCACCCAGCTATCCAATTTGTATACGAGCGTCATCGTCATCATTGCGCTGCTCTACCTCACGCCCTGCTTCTACTACATACCCAAGGCGGCCCTCGCGGCCATCATCATTGCCGCAGTGCTCTTCATGGTCCAGTATCGTGTCATCAAGCCCATGTGGCACAGCAAGAGTGAGTAGAGCGAGAGAGAGAGAGAGAGAAAGAGAGAAGCAGATTGACTTTATTCTTCTTTTTCACAGAAACGGATTTGATACCCGGTCTGGGCGCATTCTTTGCCTGCCTGGTCATGCCGCTGCAGCTGGGCATTCTGGTGGGCATTGGCATCAATGTGATCTTCATTCTATACCAGGCGGCACGACCCAAGCTGCGCATCGAAACACTCAGCGTAAGTAGCCAAATTTTATGCTCTACTGCTACTCCTGCTCCTGCTCCCGCTCAGCTCTAACTAACGCTCGCTCTCTCTTTCTCTCATCTGCAGACGCCGAATGGTCAGCGTTATTTGATGCTGACGCCGGATCGCTGCCTCATCTTTCCCTCGATGGAGTTTGTGCGCAAGGTGATCAATAAGCAGGGCGTCAAGTCGACGCTGCCCGTCGTCATCGACTGCACGCACATTTATGGAGCGGACTTCACGGCTGCGAAGGTGATATCGACGATGGTCATGGATTTCGCACAGCGCCAGCAGCCGCTGTTCTTTTACAATCTGCAGCCGCGTGTGGCGCAGGTATTCGAGGGCCTCAACAAAGATCTGGTGGCTATATACGACATTAGCCAGCTGCATGCCAAGCTGGGCGACAAGACGACCTAACCTCGTTTAATGATAGATTAATTTAAGTCTCTTTTATTTATTTCAACACACACACACAAACACACATATACCTAAACACTCGCTCAAAACTCAGCTAGATCACTTTGAATGGTTTGGCGAGGCCAGTGACTAGTTTCATTCAAAGAAAACAAAAAGCAAACACTCAAACTAAAATGAAAAGATCGAAAGAAGCCCACGCAACGTTACCAACGATCATTACCACCAACAACAACGACAACGACAACAACTACAACAGCGAAACAGTCCAGCCAAATAGTCAAATATTATTTTCCGTAAATTTAATTAGCATTTAAGTTGAAGCAATCTTCCATTATTTATTCGCTGGTGAATGATTTGATTTCATATTTGGCCAAATGCCGAACAAAATAACTTTGCACCTCATTGTTGTCTATCAGATTGCTACGCATAGTATTATAAATATATATAACTATCATAAATATATATATTCGTATATAAAAAGCATTAACTGCTGACTAGTACTTAAATAAAAAGGCTATACAAATTTTGCGCACAGTTTAATGTTTTTGTTTCGCTTGCCGTTGCTGTTGCCGCATTTAAACAGAAACTCTAATATCTAATCAAAAATATACACAGATTTAAGACTTTCCCAATAATAATTGACGCGACGTGATTTCCCATAGATTCACTGAACTGAAAATTTATGGGCGATTCGCAAAAAAAAAAAAAAAAAAAAAAAAAAAATCAAGGTTATACATTATTTACAATCAGCTAAAACACACGTACGTATATATTATATACACTTACCCACATTTATATACGTGAAAGCAATCACACACAATCCTGAAATATTTTCCAACTGTTGCATCATTTAAGTCAGAGCAAGTCTAGAACCAGTCGAGCATGCGCTCGGTCTTATTAAAACATGCTAATGCTAAATCTTTCTGAATCAATTAAATCGCTGCGAAAATCAATCTGAACTGTAACGGCCCTTTATAATTGCACATTTCAGTTGCTTTGGCAACAATAAATATAGCATACTTTGGGGCAGCGCCATAAAATACTAACTGAGCCAGGTATGCAGCTCACTCGTTTTACAATCCAAGCAAAATTCATATAATTTTTATACTTCATTTCACACACTTATTCGCTAACTGTCAAGCGAAGGCACTAAAAAATACCACCTTTTCAAATTTTACCTTACTTTTAGTATTTCCTATTCATGTGAGAAAATGAAAATACGTTAGTCAGAAGTAGCCATTTTTAGCACATATTTTGACAGAAAAGGAGCACACGTTTTACAGCACTGTAATTTAAAACTGCCATCTCATATAAACAAAAATTTTAGTCTTGACTGTGAATAGTTGTCTCGTCTACAGATTATTTTTATTCGAAAAAATTAAAATAAATAAATCATTTTTATCTCAGCCGTTACGGTGAGTACATCAAGGACACCAAGTAGATATATGGTTAATACGATTCATTAATACACGCCCAGTCAGTTCAAAATGGGTGGAACCGGAGAGCCTAAGGATCCTAACGACAAAGAGGGCACCGGCCTCAGTTCGTTCTTTGAGCAAAAAATTGCCGAGTTGCAGTTCATTGTCTCGGAAAAGCAGCGCAATCTGCTGCGCCTGGAAGCCCAGCGCAATGAGCTCAACTCGAAAGGTAAGCAATATTAAACGAGCCGTAACAACAAAGTTTTCATTTCCGCTGCTGCTGCAGTGCGTATGCTGCGCGAGGAGCTGCAGCTGTTGCAGGAGCAGGGTAGCTATGTGGGCGAGGTGGTCAAGCCCATTGACAAGAAGAAGGTCTTGGTTAAGGTGCATCACGATGGCAAATACGTAGTCGATGTGGAGAAGAATATCGACATCAATGATGTGACTACCAATAGCCGTGTGGCACTACGACATGATAGCTACACTCTTCACAAGATTTTGCCGAGCAAGGTGGATCCACTTGTCTCACTGATGTTGGTCGAAAAGGTGCCGGACTCCACCTACGAGATGGTGGGTGGTCTCTCCAAGCAAATCACCGAGATTAAGGAGGTGATCGAGCTGCCCATCAAGCATCCCGAGCTGTTCGATGCCCTGGGCATTGCCCAGCCCAAGGGTGTGCTGCTCTATGGACCACCTGGCACCGGCAAAACCTTGCTGGCTCGCGCGGTTGCTCATCACACGGAATGCACATTCATACGCGTCTCAGGGTCGGAGCTGGTGCAGAAATACATTGGCGAGGGCTCACGCATGGTGCGCGAGCTGTTTGTCATGGCTCGAGAGCATGCGCCATCAATCATATTCATGGACGAGATCGATTCCATTGGCTCGGCGCGTCTGGAGTCGGGCAGAGGCGCCGACTCGGAGGTGCAGCGCACAATGCTGGAGCTGCTCAACCAGCTGGACGGCTTTGAGGCATCCAAGAACATCAAGGTGATCATGGCCACCAATCGCATCGATGTGCTCGACCAGGCACTGCTCCGCCCCGGTCGCATCGATCGTAAAATTGAGTTTCCGCCACCCAGCGAGGAGGCACGCGTCGACATCCTACACATTCACTCACGCAAAATGAATCTGACTCGCGGCATCAATCTGCGCAAGATTGCCGAACTGATGCCAGGTGCATCCGGCGCTGAGGTCAAGGGCGTCTGCACCGAGGCGGGCATGTATGCGCTGCGCGAGCGTCGTGTCCACGTCACCCAGGAGGACTTCGAGATGGCCGTCTCCAAGGTGATGCAAAAGGACTCTGAACGCAATATGTCCATGAAGAAGTTCTGGAAATAATTTTCGATTAAATCAATTCGTATCATTATAAAGATTTATTTTTGTCTTTCTTTTTTTTTTTAAGTAATAGTTTTATAAACAACGACAAAGAAGCTCTCCTACAGGTATTTATATCCTCAGCGATTTAATTAAGTTCTTAGTTTAAGTCCAATTAAAAAATCCTTTTTTTTATATATATAAGAAAACTGTGTAGTTATATATACAATTGCGATTCCGTCAGAGAATGCTAAAACAAAAAACAATTATATTGTAAATAAATATTACTAAAATTAATATAATAAAC